GTCAGAGAAACCTTCAAAGACTTGTAGGAAGTAACGCAGAATGAAATGAGCAGAACCGGGAGAGCAGTTTTGAAAGGCTTAGGAACTCTGATTAATATAAGGATCGACTTCAGTTCCGGAGGAGTGAAGATGAAGCTTGTTACCCACCTCCTGCCAGAGAGGAGATGGACTCAGGTGCAGAAGGAGACAGACCTTTGCAGGGCATGCCTGTGCATATTGGTTACAAGGATTTCTTTTTCTTTTGAAAAATGATGATTGGGGGAAGGTTAGAAGGAGGGAGCTAGGATAAGGCTTGCCACGAAAAGAGAGTAGGTCATGAGCTCTCTTTTTAAAGATTCCCAGAAAAGACAGAGAGAGCTGGGCAACTCTGAAAGTTCCCCGTGGAGTGTATTTGATCCTTCAAAGAAAAAGCTGGCTGTGTGCAATAAACGATTCATTGTTTTCTGGGCAATTTCCTGCTACTGTTCTACTAGCCACAGAGAAACACTCACTGAATAGTGTTCGTTAAGTCCAGAATGTTCAAACGTTAAAAAAGAATGAGAATAAAGCTCACTGACATTTCTATAGCTTGTTAAAGTTTGCTTGATATGTGCTATTGCATTTAATCTTCACAATGAATCAGTGGGGGAGAAGCTGTTATTATCCCCATTGCCCGGATATGGAAACTGAGGCTGAGGGAATGGTCACTTGCCCAGGGTCACACAGCTAGGAAGTACCTGAGCTTAGAAACCCTGTTTTTTTGAGTCTAATTCCAGTGCTCTACCCACTAGGCAGCTCTGCTGACAAGGGAGAAGAGAGAGGAGTGGGACAGGCCTGAGGCAGACAGTTTCACTCCGGGACTTAAGTCCTCATGGGCTTCCAAGGCCAGGAAGGATTCCTCAGAGGGTCTTGGGCAGGGCCGGGCCAGAAAGCAGACCGTGTAGTAACACTGGTGGTTGTCAGGCTTCACCAGCCTCACCCTCTCTTCCAGAGTCACTGGAGTCTAGTGGCAGGTCAAAAGTCAGGAGGACCGATGAAGGCTCAGGATGTGGCGGATGAAGGTGGCACCTTTGATGTCTGACCACGATCTAAGGGCCCACGTGCCTGCTTCAGCCGCCATCGTGGCTGTTGGAACACACTGTTCTCATCCGCCCATTCCTCCAGGGGAAGGCTTCACACGCTTGGGGTGGACACCCCCCAACTCACTGACAGCGTTGAGCTGTCACTTACCCTCACAACCCGGTTTAGCCGTCTGCCCAGAAGGCTCCTGGGGTGTGGCCGCTGCGCCCGCTCCAGCTTCTTAGAGCCCCGGGTGAGAGCTGAGTGCCACGAGGACACCAAAGGTGGATGAGCAGCCCTCACACCAGGGGTGCTGGTCCTCCCTGAACGCCCCATAAAGTAGCTATTTTATGCAGCTAAACATTTGTGAAGCTTGGTGTAGCTAGGTGGATAGGGCACAGGGCCTTGGAGTCAGGAAGATCTGAGTTCAAATCCGGCCTCAGACACTAGCTGTGTGAACCTGGGCAAGTCACTTCACCCTGTTTGCCTCAGTTTCCTCATCTCCAAAATGAACTGGAGAAGGAAAGAGTAAACCCTTCCAAACGGGGTCACAAAGAATCAGACACAACAGAAATGAATGAACAACAACAAAAACTATTTTGTGTAAGGAAACAGAGACCGAAAAAAAAGGAGAAAGAAAATCTGACAGCAATAACCTAGGGAGCCTGGACAGAGCAGAATCAAGAGGGAAGCAAGTGCGTTTCCCCTTTGGGAGGGGGACAAAGCAAGGAGGATGAGCTGGTCCGTGGGACCAGAGCATGAGCTTCGCTCTGATTCAACAAACATCTGAGCACCTCCTAGTCTGTAAAATCCACAGAAACCATGTCACGTGAGGACTAGGTAGAAGGCCCAGGGATGATCGGCCTCAGGTGGGGAAATGCTTGCACTATGAGGGTGAGGGTGTTATGTGGGGAGCCTCCTAGAGTCAACGAGGAGGCAGGAAATGGAGGAGGTCAAACCTCCTAACCACTGGAGCTGCAGGCCAGGGGGCCCGGAGGAGCTCCATCCCTGAGTGGATTCAGGCAGAGGCGAGAGAAGCCTGTGGCCAGGATGCTGTGGGCCTAGGAAGGCTGCTCGGAGGACCCCACTAGGAGCCCCTGATTCTCCAGTGACGGGGGCTACCTGAGGCATGTACAGTCTGAGGCTGCACCGAGCTCCCCAGGGCACTCAGGGTTTGGGCACTGCCTGCGCTTTCATTTACCTGAACACCAGGGCTGCCAGCCTCCGCACCCCCTTCAGAGGCAGTGAGCCCAGAATGTCAGCTCATCCACCTTGGCCACACATTCCATATGGGCTGAGTAATAGCAGCAGATACATCAGCAAAGGTGGTCTTTACCAAAGATCTTGCAGCCCAATAGAAAACACTGCCAAGCAGTGGACAGAGCTCCAGCTTTGGAGTCAGGAAAACCTGAGTTCAAATGTGGCCCCAGACACTTCCTAGCTGTGTGACCCTGGACAAGTGACAACCCTATTTGCCTTAACTCCTCATCTGTAAAATGGGGACACACTGGAGAAGGAAACGGCAAACCACTCCAGTATCTTTGCCAAGAAAACCCCAGGACGTAGGTTGGACACCACGGACCAGCAAAAGCCAAAGGAAGATTCCCTCCCCCCTCCTGCAGCAGGACTGTTGTCCCAATCTCTATTATTATGGATATAGTCAAATGCGGCTCTTTTTTCATTTCCATGAATCAGTGGAACCAAACCCTCTCAGACTCCGGCTGTGATTATATGTGGTTTTATCTGTGTTTCTGATCTTGGCCAACTGAGCAACATTTTACCACTACCCCCAAAAAAGACAACTGCTGTAATGATTACGAAGGCCCTGCCCTGGGGGAGAGGGGAGAGAAAGAAGCCAGGAATGGGGGTGGGGGTGGGAGAAAGGCTCAGATGGGGGGAAAGGGGGGGGGGGAGGGGGGGGCCCAGGGAGGGGGGATAGAAACCAGGATGGCCGGGGAGGGGAGGGAGTGAGGCCAGGGAAGCCACATGGAGCCAGGGTAGGAAGAGATTTGGGAAGGTGGGGCAGGAATTGGACCTTGGCTTTGACCTTCCCCAGGGAAAGCTTGACTTTGAAAGGGACATAGATAAGCTATTCAGGCTGGCAGGACAGAGCCCAAATTTCTGTGGTCTGTCTTTAGCCAGGGTTGAAAAAAAATCCCTGTCCCTACCATTCCTTCTCCATGCTCCACTTAGAAAACGTCCATGGCCCTGGATTGGATGGCCCAAAGAGAACGCTGCTGCATCCCCCCCCCCCCCCAGTCCTCCGGCTTCTGCTTGAGAGGTCCAGGGGCCAGAATCAGGGGAGGAGACGGCAAAAGGGGCAGAGCTCTGATCCCACTGCCTGCCTGCCCACCCCTCAGCCCTTTTCACCCCTCCAATTGTTCACGATTCTCCTGACCACAAGTCTTGTACCTTATGCAACAACCGTTCCTAAATCTCTCCCTGCCCTGTGGCTGGTCACACACTCTTCATGGGAACCTGGAAGGCTGAGGTGGGGAAATGGAAGGGAGAACAAGGCATAGGACGAGAGGCAGGGGTCCTGCTCCTAAAGGCAGTGGGCCTCTGATGAAGTCACTTCCCTTCTTGGGGTGCAGTTCTCTCTTCTGGAAAAAGGGGTTTGAATGAGATACTCCCCAAGGTCCCTTCCAAAGCCCCGGGGGTCTCCCCTTCTGGTGAGCGATCTCCCAATCCGCCAGCCCTCTCTCACTGGCCACCTTCCCCTCCCCACCTCTCCCCGACCCCACCCCGGCCCACTTAAAAGGTCTTACTCCCTCCTCAAACTAGAAGAGGCCAAAGTCCCTTCTCCAGATAAAAGGACAGTAGGGCCTCCATTCTCAGCCAGGACATACCCTCGCCAGAAGGGAAGTTGGAGGGGCCCAGTGGGAGCCCCTTACTCTACATCTCCTGCACCAGCACAGGGCAGCGGAGATGCACACCCCACCTCTGCCATCGGACAGGACTAAAAGCGGCTCCACTGGGGGAGTCGCTTCAGCCAGAGTGCTAGCCAAGGTGGGCCGGGCTTGGAGAGGCTGACCGTCCCGCCGTCTTCCGGCGCGGGGTCCTTGTGAAAGGGGGCGGGAGGGTAAGGGGCGAGGAGTGTTAGTATCTCTCTCTTGTCCCTTCCCCAGCCTTCAGCATTCCTGGTGTCCCGCTGTGCATGATCGACCCTCCCCCCTCTACCAGCTGAGAGAGCTTACAACCCGGGCAGGCAGAGCCTCATCTAGTCCCAGGGGCAGGGGGAGCCCCGCCTTCTCCCCTCCCCAACACAAACACTCTTTTTAGAACAGAAGGGCCAAGGATGGGCCGTGTGAGGCCACAGACACACACACCTCTAAGGAGGCTCACACACACGTGGCCATCCTGCCTTCTAAATCTATCACCCCAGAAGTGTGTGTGTGTGTGTGTGTCTGTGTGTCTGTGTCTGTGTGTGTGTCTGTGTCTGTGTCTGTGTGTATGGGGAGTGTGCGTGTGGTGTGTGTGTGTGTTTCCTAAAACCTGCATTTTCCTAGCCCTACTGCCCTGCCCGGCTTTACCTCCAAATGCCGAAGCTGAATCCCACCAAATCAGTCCTCCAACAATCCCTGAAACGCAGTAAGACGCGAGCAGTACCACGCACACGCAGAGGCTCCTAACAGATCTCACACACGGAGACACGCACAAAGTTCCAAGCGCACAAAACTTTGTCATGTAACACACACACTCCTCCCTCCCAACACACACGGTCCTACACATACGCAGTTACACGGTTACGCATCAGAGTTACACAAACACGCACACAGGATCCCAAGCTCAGAAACTTGGAGAGACAGCCCCCCACCCATGGTCACGCACACACACACACAGGTACACAGTTACGCACACATACCGGGGGAATTAGGGGCCGGGCCACGCCCTCACAAGCAGACGGACTGGAGGAAGGAAAGGGGTTCCTGGGGGAGGGGGAGGGAGGCCGGGATGCTCACCGTGCAGGGCCAGGAAGTCTCCGTTGGATTCCATGGCAGCTGCGGCTCGGGCCAGCTGTGCCAGTTGCCCCGCGAGCCAAGCTTCAGTAAGCAGGCTGCAGCACCCAGGGGCTGGAGGCCGGTCTTGGGAGAGGAGGCGGGTAGACAGGAAGGAGGGAGGGAGGGACGGGAGGGAGCCGGGCCCAACCCCAGCCCCAGCCTCAGCACTGCCTTCAGGTCCCCGCCCGCCAGCCCCTCCCCTGGGGCCAGACACTGACCCCCCCCCCCCCGCCCCCGGGGCTGCCTGGCCCGGAATTAGCAGCGGCCTGGGTTCTCTAGGGGTGGGCTGGGGATGGGGGACCCGGCCCTGCCCCTGCCCCTACGGAAACCTAGCAGTCTAGAACAGCTGCCAGCCCTCTAGCCCCTAGGTCCTGACAGGGGATTGAGAAGAGGAGTGGAGGCAGTGGAGGCCTGGTCTGGACTTCCAGTCCTTTTCCCGTATGCCCTACCTCCTCCAAAGGATGGACCTGGGGCACTCATGGCTTCTCTCATCCGCCCCGCTCCGCAGGGGGCCTGGCCCAGGTAGCCCTCCCCTCCGCCCCCAACTTTCCTTCCTCCACAGCCCCGAAAGTCTCTCCACCACTCTCTCCCTCTCTCTCTCTCTCTCCCTCTCTCTCTCTCTCTCTCTCCCCCTCCCTCCCTACCTAACCTCTCTATGTCTCTATCTCTGTCTCTGTCTCTCTCTCCATCTCTGTCTCTCTCTGTCTCTGTCTCTGTCTCT